ATGAGCACCGATGCTCATTAGATCATTTCTGTATATATATATATGGAATGTCCATGTCCAAATTGATTGAATGTAGGGCATATCACTTACACTGGATCTCGTGAGCTTTTGAGTTTGTAACGGATACTGATTTTAAGATTCTTTATGGTTGGTGTTTTATTTTTCGAGTTGTTTGAAAAAAACAATATTGAAATTATATTAGCAAATTAAGATGAGAGAAAGGAAATCCGTCAAATTCAATTTCGAACTGCAACAGCATCAGAATGGCCATTTCCCTCCGTTTAAAGTGGAGAAATTATTCGATCCTGCTGCTGCTTGGGACAAGGTTTCTGTTTTTTCTATATTTTTCCTGTATTTTTCTCATGATTTGTTCTTAATTGTCGATGCAAGGTTGAAGCAAAAAATATTTCTCTTATTGTTGATGATTATCTTAATTGATTTCTCCGGAATTGGCTCTTTTTTAAGATGATACAGTATGGAAGTGTGCAATTTCTTTCATGAATTGGATTCAGATTGATGAATTTCTTAGTGCTAGGCAGAAAAAGAAAACTTACTCTAGGATTTACTTCGATTGTTCCAATTAGTTTGAGCTGGGTTTTGTTGATACTTGGATAAATTAAAAATCCAATAAGAAAAAATTGTATTACCCTTGCAAGACACAATTATAGGTATAATCATTGTTTGATTATCAATCTCTCATGGTTCTGGGAGTGGGACAACCATGACTATAAGATCTTAAACATTCAGAAAAGACGGTGTTGTGGGCTGGGGAAGTGTTCTTTTTTGTGTAAGATAGCATTGATTCAATCCTTTATTGGGTTTGTTAGTCTAAATTTGATTTAGTGAAATGTGGCTTGGAGTTATCTCTGCTGCACATAACGGTGAAAGGTGGAAACGCGAGTGATGCTATAATTACCATGTAGAGGTTTTATTGAGAGGATTCCCCATGCCATTTGACAATTACTATAAAGGGGTTCATCTCTTTAAATGTCAGTAAACAGTGCTTACAAGAGAATAAATGATAGAACTACTGTGTTTATATTGCATCTTTCATTTTGTTGGTGCAATTTTTTAAAATTCAGCCACATTTTTCTGATTGATATAGGTGTATTGCTAGCTGTAAGGACACGATTACATTGTATATCATAAAACTTTTAACTTTGAGATATAGTAATTTCATTAAAATCACGGGATAAGTTTCATGCAGATGCTCATGCACTTAATGGGCATATTATTCACGTGTAATAGCTGTTATTTGCTTTTTTTCATACAGGATCAGTTGGGTGATGTACTACATTGGATTAGACAAGCATTGGCCCTTGTATGTGGATTACTATGGGGTGCCATTCCTCTAGTTGGGGGCATCTGGTTTCTCCTGTAAGTCCCCACATTTGGTTAGTTCGTTATAAATTAACAGTTCGCATCAAAGGCTGCTACAATTCTGATAAAAATGACTATCTGCATTTCAAGTTGAGTTCAGTCTGCAGTTGGACAGCTTGATACAAATGATTTGTTTCCTGGGTTATTGTGAAAATATGTTGTGCAAGTTGCTTAAGTTCACTATTGTGTTGGCCTAAACAAGTAACGATCAATTAAGTTCTTTGAACTTCAGTATCCAAAACTTCTTGAGGAACTTGTTTAAGACTCACATCCTTATTTTAAGTATCTTTTGGTGTCCTCTGATCACCCGACCTTCTGGATGTTACTTAATTGGAGGAAAATACTCTTCCATGTTCACGGTTTGAGTGATTAGGAAAACCCATTTATGCATATGCATATGTGGATATAATGTAGATAAGTCCAGGTAATGTAGTTTTTTTTAGAATAATCATTGTTTCTGGAGCTTTATCTTTTCCAAGATATTCACAACAAATTTTAGTTTGGTCTCAGTGTAGGGATATCAGTTACTGCATCTTCTAGTTTCGGATGAAAAAGACGGTAGTGTCTGATACTTGAAATTCAGATGCTAAACGATAAAGGAGGAAATATTGTAGTCTATTGCCACTATTCATGGTATGCTCTATCACGCTTGGTCTGAAGCGATGCTATATGCCCTAGAAAGGGAGAATATATGTTCAATGTGTCCTGCAAAATTCTTGTTGGATTGTTGCTTGGTGATGTGGAATGGCATAATAGGTACTAGAAGGTAGGCAGAAGGTGGTAAGCTATGGGCTCCATAGGCTTCTGAGTTATAGCCCCTGTTTGGTGTAGAAATCAAATTTATAGTAGGTTTTGATACAAGTTAATGAAACATACGGTTGAGAAATTGATAAAAGTTGTGGATCATATGAAATGTGGTTAAAATGAATTATCGACTTTGACATAGATTTTTATCAACTTTTGAAGTCACACCAATATGTTGTATAGTAAGACCAGGCCGGGCCCACAGGTTCAACTAGTTGCTGGATGCTTAGCTGGGCCAGTCCTGTAATTAAATTGTTGTTTATGCTAGTCATCCAGTAGAAACTGGAAGACCTGGCTCAGTTTCAACTCAGTGCGTCTCCCTAAAATGAACGAACTTTGGGGAGTCTTCAACACAAAACATCACACGCTAGACGAGTTAGTTGGACACTGGGGCCAAGTACCTCCATGATGTGAGCATAGTTGATAAGTTAATTAACTAAAATAAAGCACGACCTTGTTAGTTGGCTTGAATATTCGTTTGTTTTCACAAATCGTTGATTATTCACTAGTTCTTTTTAGTGGGTAAAAGTTTGAATGGTCAACACGTGAAAAGCAATATGAGGAAAAAATTTGCAGATGCTATATCAAGTTATGATTTGAATTTTTGGTTAAAAATGAGGACATTTCAAACATTGCAAGTACATTCTACACAACTGAATATAGTTCAAATATAAAAAATAAGCATCTGACGCGACTCATTCCTCAGTAGTTCCTCTGGTGAAATAACAAGTTGTCTCTTATCTTTTAACACGATACTAACGCAGTTCTTTAGGAAACAATAGCTTCCCTTCTTCATCAGCCGCATCTGGTGTACTAAGCGTGACTTAAGTTAAAAAATTGTTGAGGAAGGCGTACTATTTTATCTTTTTGATTGGTCAGAAAGATCCCATAATTAATTCTGTGTGCTGATATCGATTTTCAGGTTTTTGTTGTTGTCCTCTGGTATTATCTATGCTTATTATGCACTTGTACTGAAAATTGACGAAGAAGATTTTGGTGGTCATGGAGCGCTTCTCCAAGATGGCCTCTTTGCTTCAATATCTCTCTTTCTGGTACATATACATTTTCCAGTACTCATTACCCAATGTTTACAAAAGAGATATTACACGTGTCTTCACAAACTTACTATCCTCTTCTATTTTTTCAGCTCGTGTGGATTCTAGTATATAGTTTGGGACACTTTTGATTTGCTATTTCGAATCAGAACCCCTTTCTTTTTTCTCTTCAGCAGAATGCTGATATGTTTAGTTTAGAAAATACGAGGTAAGTTTCTAAGCCCTTAATTTCAAACTTGACTTTGAGTAAGTCTATCGATCTTTACTTGAGGGTGCAATGTTAGACTGCATACGCAGGAATATGCTTTAACTTCGGTTTTTTTTGTTTTGTTTTGTTTTTTTTTTTTCAGGTTTTATTTTTCAGTTTATTTCCCTTCTAATTGCGATTTCCCTCATTCAAATTGGTGACAAGCATATATGGATTTAGATTGTAGAATAAATGGAACCTTATAATTTTTTGTTCAGAATTGCACGATTCGAATATCTATTTGTGCTTTCAACATATTTTTAAAGTGTCAGATTCTTGTAAGTCGTGTTCGTTAAGTAATTTTCATTTTCTTGACAACTTTTCACGAAGCTAAGCTTAAAAAGTTCATTTCTAAGTGAAATTACTTATAAATAACAAATTATCAGAGAAAAGAACTCAATTGTGCTTGGAAAAAATAAGATGTACTTTAATATTTTTAAGATACCATAATTGAAATATTAATACATAATGAAATAAATTTAGATTTTTTCTTTTTTCGTACAACAAGTAGTGTCAGAGCTAGACATTTAGATTGAGGGCCTAAATGAACGTGCAAAAAAACTGAAACAGTATAAAAAAAATTCCCTCAACTAATGCTTTATGGTTCTACTATGATTTTAATGTTTTGCTTGTTTTATTCTTTGAAAATGTGATAGTAATATTGTTCTAATTTTCATTTCTCGTTCAAATTGAGAGAATAAAATTGTTGAAAACATGGTTTCATATCAATGAAAACTAAAGTATTACTGGGAATTTTCAGGGAATAAAACAAAAACGCATGCAATTGTGTGTGAGATCCAGAAAATGAGCAACTCTACTCACTACTTAGTGATGTCAGGTTCCTAGCAAGCAATGGCACTTTGTGGTCATGGAGTCCCAACCGTTGAACCTAGGACAAGGTTTTTTGCAATTGAGGATTTTGATTGTGAAATTTACGTGTTGGATGGTGAAATTTAGTGATTGAGTTGAAAAATTTGTGGGAATTTTTTATACTGAGGGGTAGGGGCAGAGACGACTGACGAGCAGTAGGGAGAGAAATTACATATCTGTTAATTTTATTTATTTTAAAAAGAAACAATGCAGAGTCGGCCAATGACAAGATCAGTGGTATGGAGCAATTGTATCATGCCACGTGATGGCCTTGGTGTAGATATATACATACAATAGAAAGTGAATGGTTCACGACAATTCATATTAGGTGCCAATTGGTGGTAGATGAAATGACATATTAACTATGATACTCTCTTCATCTTTGTATCTGCAACAATTTTTACTAGTTTATAACAAGCTTATGGTGAGATTGCTTGTAGAGACATCATGCATGGTTGAATCGACATGTTAATATAGCTTCAATGAGCCTAAAAAAGGGTGATAACATTAAATGGCTAACATAGTGAAAAACCTATGTCTGATCAAGATTACAAAATTTATCCTTTTTTTCTCCAACACACTTGCCCCCACATGAATATTTACAAGAGTATCGATCATTATCTCCGAAAATATAATAATTGCTCAACGTTATATTTATAATGCTGGTACCCTTTTTTTTGTTGGAAAATACGACTTACATAATATTATTTATAAAAGTTAACAAATAAATATATTTTGTGAATTCTATGTCAGGCCAATAGAAAATACGCAACAGTTTAGAGCAATGACATTTATTATTTATTACCAATTTGAAATAGTACTAAATGAATTATACTTTTTGAAAATAAGTTAGGTAGAGTGAAATTTACTTAAATAGAAATTCTCGTGATTCAACAAACATTAAGCAAAATTTTATTTGTTAAATTTTGCGAATAGGTACGCTACTTCAATTTTTCAAAAAAAAAAAATATCTAAACTTTTTCTCTTACAAAATTAATCTAACTATAATTGTGTTAGCTCAAAATTATTAGGCCAAAATATTTTTTACATGGTATTGTACAGATAACAGATGTATTAATAATATTGTGAAAAGAACAAAATTCTTGGAAAACGTAAGCACGTAAAATTGTAAATTAGGATGTTTTGACTCATGCTTATAAATTGTGTACTAACGTGTCTTACTCACCCAATTCTATATATTTCTAATTGATACCGTTTATAAACACTTCATCTGAATCTAAATACATTATGAAATATAATTTGATTCTGCCAAAAATTGCACCCGGTGAATTTGGAGCTTGACGATTGAAAATGAGTATGAACGTGGTCTTCCGGTACCTGAAACCAAGGCGTCGATGGGTGTTCACGTAGCCCATCCGATGCTTAAGTCAGAGAGGGAATAGAGAGAAAAAATATATGCTGAAAGATATATGTAAAACGTACTTCAATAATGATCCCAAGTCTCAAATTTATAGGGCTGGTTGGTAGTTCACTCCTGTAGGACTTGCTTTCCTTATTTTCAGGAGTGATTGTCGGGGTGAGTGTTTGACTGTAACTAGGAGTCCAAACTTTCCCTATTTGAGATGTTTCCTGGGGTAAACACCTTCTGGACCTGGGATTCTTGAGTAGAAGCGGTTTGGATAGAGTTAGAATTCTCTAGGGACGAGACTACTAATGCACGACCATGTAGTACTTTGGGGGTCATAAGGAGAATTCCCGAGGACACCCAGAATGATTTTCCGAGCGTTTTATGTTTGATGATCCTCGGGACTATCTAGAGGATTGATATGCCCCGAGCACTAGTTTTCTTAAGATTGGAAATGGGAATCACGTACTGTCTTCAAGCTCGAGGTGTGCCATAATCCCACATCATAGGCCCCTGTGCATCCACCCCTAAAAGCTCGAGTGTTAGGTATGGACGTAGATGAGCTCGATCTATGAGTTACGAGTGAGTGGGACACTCGAGTTCTTGATGTCGCGAGCTCTGATCGTTTGTAATAAATGCGGTGGTTTAATAGTGGTCGCTGCATGCTTGACACGTGGCGAGATCCAATGGCCACGATGGTGACCCATTTCAACCTTATAAATACACCTTTCACTTTTTCACTTTTCACTTTTCTCATTGCTATAAAAGTTCTCCTCAAGGTCGAACTCGAACGAAGTCCTTAGGCGTTCTTTTGGTCTTCTAGTCATCTTTAAGGTAAGACCTCGAGGCTTTAAGTAATTTATTAAGTTTTTATCGAGTGATGTCGAGTGGTGAAGTGCATTTTAACATTTAATCCTACAGTTGACTCATGTTTATAAATTGTGTAGGAACGTGTCTTACTCACTCATCACCCAATTCTATATATTTCTAATTGATACCGTTTATAAACACTTCATTTGAATCTAAATACTTTATGAAATGTAATTTGATGTTGCAGAAAATTGCACCTGGTGAATTTTGAGCTTGACGATTGAGAATGAGTATGAACGTGGTCTTCCGGTACCTAAAACCAAGGCGTCGAGGGGTGTTCCGTCGCCCCTCCGATGCTTAAGTCAGAGAGGGAATATAGAGAAAAAATAAATGCTGAAAGATATATGTAAAACATACTTCAATAATGGTCCCAAGTCTCAAATTTATAGGGCTGGGTGGTAGTTCACTCCCTGTAGGACTTGCTTTCCTTATTTTCAGGAGTGATTGTCGGGGTGAGTGTTTGACTGTAACTAGGAGTCCAAACTTTCCTTATTTGAGATGTTTCCTGGGGTAAACACCTTCTGGACCTGGGATTCTTGAGTAGAAGCGGTTTGGGTAGGGTTAGAATTCTCTAGGGACGAGACTACTAATGCACGGCCATGTAGTACTTTGGGGGTCATAAGGAGAAGTCCCGAGGACACCCAGAATGATTTTCCGAGCATTTTATGTTTGATGATCCTCGGGACTATCTCGAGGATTAATATGCCCCGAGCACTAGTTTTCTTAAGATTGGAAATGGGAATCACGTGCTGTCTTCAAGCTCGAGGTGTGCCATAATCCCACATCATAGGCCCCCGTGCATCTACCCCTAAAAGCTCGAGTGTTAGGTATGGACGCAGATGAGCTCGATCTATGAGTTACGAGTGAGTGGGACGCTCGAGTTCTTGATGTCGCGAGCTCTGATCGTTTGTAATAAATGCGGATGTTTAATAGTGGTCGCTGCATGCTTAACACATGGCGAGATCCAACGGCCACGATGGTGACCCATTTCAACCCTTATAAATACACCCTTCACTTTTTCATTTTTCACTTTTCTCATTGCTATAAAAGTTCTCCTCAAGGTCGAGCTCGAACGAAGTCCTTAGGCGTTCTTTTGGTCTTCTAGTCATCTTTAAGGTAAGACCTCGAGGCTTTAAGTAATTTATTAAGTTTTTATCGAGTGATGTCGAGTGGTGAAGGTAATAGGGGTTTTGGTAGTTCGAGCAGTAGCGAGGACTTAGGAACGTCGATGATTCCAGTAGCCATCCCCCTAGATGCCCGACCTAGGTATCAAGGTAACGTCGAGTTTAAATCCCCTGAAGAACCTTGCAGATTCAAAGAACACATAGCTTTAGGGGCTGCTCAAGAATATGGGTTAATGCCCGGGTGTGATGTTAGGTCGCCTTTGCTTGGGGATAGAACGGCTCAGGCTCGAGACAAAGAGTTTGTTATTTTTAGAGACTCCTTAAATGCCGGGTTTAGGTGGCCATTGCACCCTTTCTATCTAAGTTTTCTGGTCGAGCACTCCATGTGCCTGGGCCAGTTAGTGCTCAATGCATGGAAGGTGCTCATATATTTCTTCATAGCATGTATGTATCTGGGGATCTAGCCCTATGTTTACCTTTGTCGAATGGTGCTCGAGCTCAAGCAGCTCCCCCAGTTCATGTGCTTTGCCTATTTGTCAACTAAATGGAGTTTTAGGGTTCTGAGCATGCCAAGCTCGTTAAAGGGTTGGAAGGATAGATGGTTTTACGCAATTGCTCATGATCCCGACTTTCCATTCTGGTCGAGATGGGGTGTCCTCGATGTTGCAAAATTTTGTGATGGTCGGGCTTATTTTGAGTCGTTAGAGCGAGATAGGCAGATGCTCGAGGATCTCGAACCTTTAGTGCCCGATATAAAGGAAATTCAAGGGGATGAAGTTCTAGACCTCCCTGACGTTAGAGGCCTCGAGGGTAAGGCCTTATTCCTTCAATTATTAAGTTATTCTCAATGTTATGATCGGGCTAATGAGTTGTCTCTTTTTGCAGGAATGTCTTTCAATCCCTTAGATCTTAGGAAATTCGTGAATGCCAA